TATAATAATTTTAACAAAAGAATTATTGGTTTTAAATTATAGCATATATTTTACATTATCCTTATATTAACTAGATATAGAAACCACAGCTAACCACTGAACAAAGTAGTTGATCCTTAAATAAATAGAATGGTTTCAATTATATATAAAATACTAGAGCTTCAAATATTTTTCGAGCTATTTGAAATTATAAATAAATATTATAAAATTATATTTTAATTATAAATATTTTATATATTTTATAAACCATTTACTTTCTTTAATTTATTTGTTATTTATGAGTTAACACTAAAGTTAATTTTAAAGTTAACTAAGAATAAAGAACTGGACTACTAGTTTATTTGCCCATTACTTTCTTTAAATATTTTGCTAGACTTCAATATCACTTTCTGATAGCTCTTTAGAGTCATGTAGAAAAAGGGATTCAATGTTTCTTCTTCTTAGCATACCCCGTAAAAATCTTTAGTTACAACCCCAAACCTTTGTGTATGCTTGCTTATAAAGCAATGACCACCTACACCAAATTTAATATTACCGACTTCAGTTCTATTCAAATAAATTGGTTTTATAGTTTTAAAAGAGTTAATGGATAGCCAGATATATTTAGTTTTATCACAATATTCCCACTTAAATTATTTTTTTTTGTTTTGAAGAAACCAGAGTGTGTTCTAGATTTACAAGTATTGAGTAATATGTAAATTCCTAGACAATAATTAATATAGTTCCCAGCTGCACCTTTGCGTACAAGTTTAACTCGCTTACAGTTGCCGTAGTAGTCACTATGTCTTGGTATGCACCTAGAAATACGGCACAGAATAGGAGGACTTTAGATCTGATATATAAAGAATGAAATAGCCTAAGTCAGTTAGGAATCTAATATCACTTTCTGAGATATATCTTACCAACAGTATAGCAGCAGCAACTTAAAGCACCACAACCTGAATATTTCTCTTAAAGACAAGAAAATCGGAATGCTTGGAAACTACGAATCAGCTAGAAAATGCCTTAATGGCACATATATACTTATAGGTTAAAGTTATAGAAATAGCAGAAGAAAATTGAATATAAATAGCAGTTATTGTAATATTTGCGAGAAAAGTAATTAAAGAAAAGAAACTTTTAAAAAAAATTGCAAGGTAATATTATATTTCTTGGTTGTATATATCAATAGTTTTTTAAAGTATAGAGTCTTATCTGGAGAAACTTCATATATATAACTAAATCTTCCTATTGCTTAAGAAACACTTTTTAATAACTAACCAATTAATTACATAGATACATAATGCTATAAAAATTATATATATTTTCAGATAAATTAATAATTCTACAGAAATTATATATATATTTTTATTTGTAGTTAACTTATGGGAAGACCTATGCCACAACACAAGCTGATGCACTTGCACGTTACTATTATAGTTACAACATGAAACTAATTAAGAAACATAATCAGAATTATGACAGAAAGCTAACGACTTTCACACTCAAAGCTAATCAATTTACAGATATGAGATTGACACAATTCAATGCACTATTTCCACCGGCAGTATATCCGACAATGACCTTCGATTTTCCATTAAATACAGTACAAAATCCACCAGCTACATTTAACCCCTTCACCGATCAAGGTCTAGTATCAGAAGTTGAAGATCAGGGTATATTATGCAATAGTGGTTGGGCTTATTCTGCAGCAAAATCTATAGAAATACTGCAACAATATCAAGGAACGTTAATACCACTATCTGCACAAAATTTGATTGATTGTTCTGGTCGTTCTACTGCTTGTCGGACGCAAGTACCACAGACAGGTTTTGATTATTTAACAATGTATGATCAGGTTATATATTCAACGACCGACTATCCAAATAATATCACAATCAGTGAACAAAATATGTGCATCATACCTCCTGCACCAATCACAGGTACAAAACTGAGCGCATACTCAGTTATTACTGATGGTGATGATGCTACGATGTTGAGATACGTTGGCAACAATTATCCTGTGGTAATTGAATTTAATCCAACTTCATTCGAATTTATGCATTACGCTGATGGTGTTTTTCAACAACCACGCACCAGCACTGGTTCACACTTCATGGTAGTCCTTGGCTATGAGGAAGATGCAACGTCAGGTCTGAACACTTGGTTGGTACAAAACTCTTTCGGAAAAACTTGGGGAAAGGGCGGACGAATAAGTATTAGACGGGACGCAGTTACGCCTTTAGCAAAACATGCTATATTCCCAGCTGAATTAGCTTAATTATTAATTATTAAGTATTAAGTATTATATATATAAATTTTTTATTTTATGTTTTATATGTTAGAGCGAAAAATTAAATAAATTAAATTGTTTATAATATATTTTTCACTTTATTTTTTTGTATAAATAATAATTTATATTATTATAATTTTTAATAATTATAAAGCAAATTAGTTAAAACTGTTTCAAGTGGGTACATAGTACAGTAGATATATTTCATCCTGTAAAGATATATTTCATACCTACGGTTAAATCTCAAACTCTTACAGAATTAAAAGTTGTATAATAATATAATACCGAAGAGGTTTTTTCGAACAGTAGTGAATTGCAACAACAAAAATTCTTTTTTATATTATTTGAATTAATTGAATTTTTGGCTGACCATACAGCTGTTTCGAATATTGCCAAATACCCATCATCAGTGGTCTTGGAAATAATACTTGTATTTAATTATTCGTAAATAATTATTTTTGAGACTGCAAGTACCAGGATTCGAACTCGGGTCCTGCCAAATATAATACCTAAATAAGAGATTACAGAAGATTACAGAGATTAAATAAAGTAAATAAATAAAACATATTTAAATTATTTTTTAATTTTTATGGAAACTCCAAATCAGTATTTAAGTCAGTGATTAAGGGTAAATAATAAAGCAACTATTAACTTCTAAAAATATAGATCGTTTCAAATATTGGTTTTAATCTTAAAAATAAATTACGGGGATTTAAAAAATTTAACTTTTTAGAAGTTTTGTTATATTATTTAGGATTCTGTTTCATTAAATTACATTATGTTGTTAAGATATAATCTTTAAGACTGTAAAACATGAAATAATAGAAATGGAAAAATCATTAAATGCTAAAAGTCGTTTTTATCAAATTATATATTATAATAATATTATTTATAACAAGAAAATAACCGACTAGAAGATCAGGAGTAAACCATCGAAATGTTGCAACAAATATG